GAGAAACGCTGGCCTAGTGTTTAGGGCACTGCTGTAGGATGTGGGAGACCTTGGTTCAAGTTATTGGTTGATCTGGGATGAAAAAAAAAGAGTTGGCTCTGAATATCTCTCTCCAGAGAAACCTTCCTGACAAATTTGTTGTTGAAACCAGTGTTTCCATGTGTGATGGGGTGGAGGGTCCTCATCCAGTGCAGGGTGAGTGCACTCCATCTCTCAAGCCACCTTCTGCCTCTAGGCAGTGAGGTCTAAGGGTTTAAGTCCAGCAATTGGCTCTTTGCTGTAGGGCTGTGCGGCCTAGGAATCAGAATCTATAGGAGTCGTCTGAGTCCCCGGGCTGTAAGGCCAAGTGGCCAGAGTACCTAGTAATATCCTGACTCCCAGAACAATGAGGCCTAGTGGCCAGAGTCAATAATAACAATACCCTGACCCACAGGGCAGTGAGGCCTAGAGGCCAGAGTCAATAGGTTTGCTCAGCCCACAGTGAGGAATTAACCATTCCCCATGTAATGGCATTTTATAACAGAAAAACTTTCATCAAACAGTTTGAGTAGCTCTCCATAGCAATACCTTCTCACAATAGGGATGCTGCTCATGCAAACAAACACTTGGAGAGCCCCCAGAAACTAGGTCCAATTTGCCTATCTTGTGTGCCTAGCACATTTTGGGGGCACTGTGTAAATAATAAAGAAGAATGCTCTATATCAAGAGAGGTTTCTCAAAGGCAGTGTCTGCACTAGAATGTTTCTTCATATTTCCCATCATAGAGGTTGTTGGGGCAGCTTTATCAGTGATAGCAGTGGTGGCAGGGCTAGCATGGATGTGTTGCCAGTATTTTTAACCACTGTCTAATCCTGCTCAGGAAGGCCTAGATGGTGGTTTAAAATGCTAGTGAGTACTAACAGCTTTTTTGCGTTAGCGATAATGACAGTGAGAGTGCTAGTAGAAGTGCACCAGGGGGAAATTGAAAGAAAAATGCTAGTGTAGAGAAGGTTGGTAGAAACTTACCACCCACTTTCTACACTACTTCAGTTTTCTACAAGTTTTAACATGAACAGTATTTACTGGAAATAGCTGGCTGTGCCAAAAACATACTAGTTGATTTTTTTTCTCCCAATCATTTACTTTTCAAGAGCCACTGCTATCTCCCAGAAAACAAAGAAAGTTGCTCTGTGCTTGTGCGAGAGCCAGATCTTTGCTTCTCAGGAATTCATCTGCTCCTGCTGTTCATTAGAATCCTCTGTTCGGGACACTGCTTGTAGTTACTTTGGTAACTGCAAATAAAATATGAGAATTTCAGGTAGGGAGTGAGCAGTAAGGAGAGAAAGACACAAACTCTGTTTTCATTCAAATATCTCTAAAATAAAAAAAGGCGGGGGGGGGAACTCTAAGAAAGCAGATGGTGGATTTTAGTGTCACAATCGTTTCCAAGTACAGTGTTTTTTTTCCACATTTTTATGAGCTTCAGAGCATTTAGAATCAAACTGAACCAAAAGAAACAAATATTCTGTTTTTCCTCAAACTACAGCACTTTCCCCATATCTCTGCATTTTAAGGCTCCACACAGCTAAATTGGATAGATGAGACTCTCTCTTCTTTGCCCACATCTGTGTGTTGAAATTGATTTCGTTCAAGATCCTCTGCATCAGTTAACTCATGGTCCCATTGTCATGTTCTTCTGTACCAGATATGGACTGGTCACAAAGTTTGCTTATACACACCATATGTGTTCATCATTATAAGAACTTCTAACACTGTGCCAGAAATGGCTGAGGTTAGTTTAAATAAGGTATTTTACACAGCTCCACCTAGTAGCTGGACAGTTCAGAATTCCATTACATCTCCCCATTTAAGTTCTACATTCCTACCATTTGCAATATTTAAACTATCACTGTGTTTGTAGTTCAGTGCAGATCAGTCTGTTAAGTGTCTCTGAATCATTTTGGTTTTCTAACAACCCAAATGCATAACAACTTGGTCATCTGGCTGTCCATTAGTTGCAATGACTGGCTGTGGTTGATCCAGAATCCTTGAGTCTTCTTCTTGTTCTGCGTCTGCCAGCTGCTCCGTTGATTGTTCTCTCTGAGGATCAAACTGTAGATGTCGATGGTTTCTGTTGGACTCTCCAGCGTCAGTCTTAATCACATATAATCTGGTCATTGAATAATTTTTTCTTTACAACACCTGGAGTTGTCCATCCCTTTTCTCCATCTAATTTGACAAGAACAGCCTCACCAGGTTCTAGTCCTGGCAGTTCTTTTATTGAGTGATATCTGTTGTAAAAGTGTTCATAAGCTCTTTTAGCCCTTTTATCCAATTTGGCTACTCTCTTCATGCTTGACCACTTTGGGGATAACTACTGCTCCACCTTTGGAAAAGAATTTGAGTCATCTTCCCATCATGAGTTGTGCTGGACTGTATCCAGTAGCTGCTATTGGTGTTGATCTGTAATTTAGAAGAGCAAGGAATGTGGATCTTCCTGCTACAGGATTTTCTTGACTGTCTGTACAGCTCTCTCAGCCTCTCCATTTGCTTGTGGGTAATGTGGGCAGCTAGTAACATTATCAAAGTCATATTTCATCTGGAGTTGTGGTCTGTTGTCTTTCACTAGTTGTTCTGGAATACCAAAAGTGACCAAAAGTGCACTTCAGTTTCTCAATAACAATCCAAAGTGTTATACCTTTCAAGTACATTATTTCTATATACCTGGAAAAAATAGTCCACGACAACCAGGTGATGATGTCCTTTGAATCTGCATAAATCTGCAGCTAGTCTCTTCCAAAGTCTTTCTGGTAAAGGTGGTGGTGTTAAAGGTTCTTTGTGTTGTGTTGGTCTGTTAGTGCTGCAATGTTCACATGCAGATAAAAAAAAAAATAAAGTATGTCCTTGCTGATGCCTGGCCACTACACTGACTAGTTGGCCCATTCATGGCATTTAGTTAATCCTTGATGTCCTTTATGGATGAGGTTTAGGATTTCTCCTCTCATTTTGTTTGGAATTACAATGCAATAGCCTTTAACCATGAGTCCATTTGACTTAATTGTCCACATGCTGCAAAGTAGCTTTTTGTCACTTCCTTAGTCTCCTTTAGATACTTTGAGCCTAATGTAACTTAGAATGTCCTGAAGTTGTGTGTCTGTTGAGGATGCTTTTTGTAGCTGGAGTGGTCTCTTTTCTGACACTGGTCTGTATGTGTCCACGGCATCCACGTAGCCTTTTACATCATCTTCAAGTTCATGGGTAGTTGAGTGTGATTCTGGGCTCCGTGACACAGCACCTGCCACTACCAGACTTTTTCCTGGGAGCATATTTAGCAATTGGGGTAAATTGCATTAACTTTAGCAATAAACTTTGATGATGGTTACAAGTGATTTATGGTCTGTTACCACTGTAAACAAATCAATCCACACAGATATCTAGTTGTGCCGGTTCCGGCCTGATACTGGTTAGATGGATGGTGGTTCAGCAAAAGGGAAAAAGCCAGAGGAAACACCAGCAACAGCCTCACACTTTTGGTCCTGTAACTAAACACAACAAATTTGTTTCCTTTCGATCACACTTTAGGTTAATTTGCAGGCAAGGTGAACAATGTGTTTCCACATTATATATGAATAGTCCATTTGCCAGGGAGTGAGAGTATGTGGTTGGTGGAGGTGGATGGGGGAGGGGAATCAAACTTTGCTGTTACTTTTGAAAGAGAAGATTGAGGACTCCAGGAAACATTTTGGATCTGGAGTCTTGACAGCGTTAGCAGGGAGCTGCCGACAAGCCGTGTTCAGACCTGGATAGAGAAGAGTAAACAAGGGAGAGATTATATATAATTATAGACAATCATGTTGCTGGGCATAAACAGGAATCAAAAGCACAGAGGCACTGAAGTTTGGCACATCCCCAAGCCCAGAACAGAAGCCAGCCAGCAAGAGGCAGCGCGACTGGAAAGCTCTTCCCTTTGGGCCTGCTTTCAGTTAGCTCAGGGGCTGTTTTTTCTTCTTTTTTTGGCTTGAGGCATTCCCCCATAAAGAAAGAGTCTGTCTGAGGGAACATGGGAGCCAAACTGAAGTCAGCAGAATCCTTGTCTGTGACATTAATGGATCGCTCTGTGAGAAATGTCAGAAGCATTTGGAAAAGTTACAGCGTGCTTAGGTCAGCAAAAACACGTAGGAATTTCTGAACAAAAATCTCTTTACAAACGCTCCAAGTGTCTCTCTCGCCTACCCTGGGGGCGGACAGTTCCTGCCAGAAGAAGAGGCACTGCAACCTGGAAGCCAAGGGCATCCACATCTAATAGTGGCCTGTTAGCCCCATTCACGATACTGGACACCCAGGCGTTCAGGGTTAACCTCAAAGGGCCACCAGTGTGTTTGTGATGAGACTCACAGCCCACCCACCTGCCCCGGTGTCTGAGCAGCAGGGAAAATAGGCCCTGGCAGTTGGCACAACTCTCTCTGCCTAGCTGTGAATCAGAGGCAAAGGAATGAGCAGGAGGCCTGTAAGATGAACCCCCCCACCCCCACCTGCACTCCTGCCTGGCCCTGCAACAGAGGGAATAAGCAGGAGTGCATGCATGATGGGACCCTCCCTTCGCCATGTGCCTGCCTTTTTGTGACAGCAGCAGAAGGAACGAGCAGGAGGCTCTACATGGGTGGGGGTGTGTGCTCCCCCTCCACCACCTGCCTGCCCTGCATTAGAGCAGCAGTGGGAATGAGCGGTAGGCCCAGTTAATTTTTTTTGTTGGCACAGTTGGACTCTCCCATTACACAAGCAATTGTTTTGTTTTTCAGACCCCGGAAAAGGGGAAGAGTACACCCAGGAAGAACACAGACACCTGAGCTCCCACTTCAAAGGTCTGGTCCTTCAAGGAGTTCTCCAACCAAACCAGGGGAGGCCAAGCTCTCTATTCCTGATAATTCAAAGGTGAAAAGAAGGGGAATTTATATAAGAAATAACAAAACCTACTTTTCAGAACTTCTTTAACAACATAAAAAAAGTGAAGCAGCATATAAACCCATCCCACCCCACACGAACACGTGGCCCAAAATATTTTCCCTAAGGAAAAATAATTGACTGTATTAAAGGGGAAATGACACTTGACTAACTGAATAGTGTCATAGTTTGGTGTGTGACATTATCTGGATTCTAATTTACCCAGATGATACTTTTTTGATGAATTCTCAATAAATAATTCTGTTGTCAAGACATTGTCTTGTAAGACGTCTCAATTTTATGGGTCCTACCAAAATACAGATTGTGCTCATGCACACCTGCTCTCCCTGCTGGCTGTTTAGTAGCTGTACTGGCATCACGCTGTTGCAAAAACAAGAAAGTAAACCAAAAGGTCTGTGTCAATTTCAGCAGTGTTGGAAATAAATCAATAGGTGAGACTAAGGGGAATTGATGTTTGCTAAGTGGAAAGGGGGAAAAACGGGTTAGAAAAGACATGTTGGGGCCCACTCTCATCTGTTGTAAATTCACATGAAGTCAACAGAGCCATGAGATTTATATCAGCTGAGGATCCGGCCCTGTGTTTTCAGAGATCCATGGAGCTACTGCAAGTAATAGGAAATAGAAACAAACAAACAAAAAAACCCCACCAACCAAACTATAAAAGAGTATATTGACAGTGTTCTCTCAACACAAGCCCATCCATGACTTGGGATGGGAATGGTGTCACAATTTTAGCACTCTGGTGAGGGGAATATTGGAGAGCAGAATGACAGCTCTTGGATTGATTCCATCTGCTTTCCTTCCTCTTTCACGTGGATGTGATCAAGAAGGGAGTGGGATGTAAAGCCCTTATCCTGATGGGAAGTCAGAAATGAAATGAGGTTAGTGGTCTCATACCTGGTGGACACCAATCACAAATCCCTCATAAAGGCAGACTCCAAAAGCACAGCTCATCAGTGTTATTTTAAAAAAAGTGTATTAAAGGTTTAACAAGCTGGAAAAAAACAGAAGCTTTGGGGAGGATGGATCTGATAGGCAGTCAGAAAATCCTACTTCACGCACCAAAGTAAGACTTGCAAGGCAAAAGGAATCAAAAAAGTGAGCCACCTAACAAGTAACATACAGAGAGTATATTTCCAGCAGGTGTCTTGGAAGAGGCCATTGGTGGAACAAAGTATTTTTTCCTGTCCTATCTGCAGCAAAAATTATGTGGAGTTTTCATTAGCTGATGGATTATTTTTTGCTTTGCAAACCTCATTCGCATGTGCCTGAGGAGAGGTTTTTCATTGTGGAGATTTGGGGATGAGCCAATGAGATATGTTAGCAGGGGGTCTCTGTTCAGGAGAGGCCCAGAGCTGGAATATCTGTGACTGTAGCAAGTCAGCATTGAGGTGCATCCGCAGAGCTCTGTGGGAACCCAAGGCTAAAATAGCAGATACTGAAAGTTAGCATTGGGGAAAACAGCATAAGTGGCTTTCTGCCAATTTCCCATGTGTAAGGGGTATTCTTGGGTGGCATGGTGGGGGCCTGAAAGCCTGGTTGGAAGGTCTCTGTCTTCTGACCATTCCCAGCTGCCTAGGCAACCTCTTGGAGCCATAGGAAGCAGGATCAGTTTCCAGCTAGTCACAGAATTCAGGGGGAAATGGTGATGCACCTTTACTCCCACCACCTTCCTGAGCTTTGCTGAAGGCAGCAGCTCAGAAGGTGGGCCCAAAAGTCCAGCACCACTTCCTCAAAATCTCAGTGGGCTTAACTGATTGCATTAAGGGAGGCTTTGGGTTGGAGCCAGCAGGGAAAGGAAACTTTATCCTCCAGCCTAGAGCTAAGGTCACTGGTGGGACAGTGTATGGTGGGAAGGATATCAGATCTGCACACATTAAGTAAACTCCAGTATTAATTGCAATCTTAATATCTGGGTTGGTGCCTAAAAGCTAGAGACACAGATGCCTAGAAATGCCAAGCAGAAAACATGAGAGAGACAATGTGAGTGAAATCATATCTTTTACTGGACCAACTTTTGTTGGGGGAAGAAGAGACAAGTTTTCAAGCTTCACAGAGCTCTTCTTCAGGTCTGGGATCAACACGGCTACAACAACACTGCAAACGACAGAAAACATGACTTCCTGATTTTCCTCATTTCTGTAATGTTGCTGTCATTCTTTACACATATTTTTCAAATAAATATTTCAACTCTATAAAAAAAAATCAGTGCCATCGAGCTAAAATGAGGTGAGTAATCCTGTAATACCAAACCAGCATGCATAGTTCAACTTTCATAAGCAACCTGCAGTGAATGCAAGAAGAAAAGAAGCAGTTTTGTTAAGGAAACATTTCTGTTTCAAGTTTCTGAAGGATTATTATGAACTGTTGCAAATTAAAACCTGAGATGCCAGGCTCAGGTGTATGCATGTGTGTATATAAAGAACTGGTTGGAATTTATTTCCCATGTGGAATATTTCAATGAACATGAAAAAAGATTGTTGTAATCTTATGTGGAAATTGAACTTTTTGTCAAAAAACAAAAGCCAAAAAGTTCAGCCACAATATTTTTAGTTTGGGGGTGAGAGGAGGCTAGATGAAAAGTGAAAATTTTCTTCAGTAAGCAAACTCTTTCCATAAAGCAAGCAAACAAACAAAACCCATTCAGTTGAAAAACCAAATTCAGTTGAAAGCCAGATTCAACAGAAAATTTTCAACCAGCCCATATTTATTTTTTCAAACTATTATTTCAATTGGAAACTTCCCCTCCTTCCCCCCCGTATTAGCCCTAACTGCTCTCACTAGTTATTAGTGCTGGGTGGGGGCGAGGAAAGCAGCATCTACAATAAAAGCAACAAAAAACAGCAAAGAAAAGCATTCTGATCTCAGTGTATCACATCGGCAGATAAGCAAGGGAAATCACAAAACATGACACTTCAAGAGCTGCGAGGACAGTTGCTACATCTGCTGAAGAAGACTCACTCACAGGTTTATTAGCTTGGTTACCACAGATAAGATCTAACACTTAAGCTGATTCAAAGAAACTTGCAGGCATTTTCATAACCTATCTAACAAGGGTGGTTGGGTAGTTAAAAACCTACATTTAATTAAACAAAATCATGTTTGAAAATATTCTAAACTGCATATGTTGCAGTTTCTGCCTTTTGGGTTTATTTTATTTTTTTTAATTCCCCAGATCATGAAAAAAACAAGCCAACAGAATTTGAGAATTTGGATGCACACACAACAGAACAAAAGCAAAAAGAGAAGGGAGCAAGATCACTTAACCATCCGATTCCTGTGAGAAGAGTCAAAATGTGCCCCTGGCTCAAGCTACCACTGTTGGTGTCAGTAAAGCGCTAATCAATAGACGCTGATGATGGCGCAGTGCAGAATGCAGCGCTGTACGGAAGCAGCCCAGAGCAGGGTTACAGCGGACAGGGCTAAAGTCCCCAGATTACAATAAAGCAGCTTGAAGGTGACAGATTTCATTGTTGAAGGTGATAAAATTCCACATGGCATGTTGCAAAACAAGGGTCGGAATTCAGAGCTGGAGTAATTGCATGACACAATGCAAGGGATGGTTACCCTCCTCTCCTTTTCATGTGGCCAGCACAGAAAACACTGAAATTCTCGAGGTTTCTGACAGGCTGCTATGGTCCCTTTCATCAGACCAGGGCTGGATGGCCTGGAACATGGCAGGCCAAAGTGCAACTTGTGGGTTGAACATTGGGTCTGATCCTCCCTTGCTTTGCATCTTATATTGTCAGTTACAGCCAGCGGCAGGAGTAAAATGCCACCTGATCAGAATAGCAGTGTTTACCGTTGCATTGCACAGGTGTGAATGATGACACAAGGGGCAAAGCTGTGGAAAATCAGAGCCATTGTCCCTAGAAACAGGTTGTGAGGGTCTAACCTGAGACATGCAAGCACCACTCAGGAACATGACAGGGTCTCAGGTGCAGTACCCTATCTCCATCCAAGTGGCCAGGTCTCCAGCCCGGGGGCCGAGCATTAAAGACAAAAGGGTGTGCCATTCTGTTCTATTTTGTGCTGTGTAGAATGTCTACATTGCAAAGCAAAGGGATGATTGTAGCAAGCGTAGCTTTAGTCTAGCTACCATGGATAACAATAGTAGTTTAGACATTAAGGTGCTGAAGCCCGTACAGCAGCCATCTGAATACAAGCCCAATGGGGGCCCTGGGTACTTACTCTGGTTGCTAGCCTGCAATTCACCAAACATGGCCCCTCATTTGGGCAGAGCTGGCCTAACTCCTGACCTAGAACAAGCGACTGGACTTTTCCTGAAAATGTTTGCACTTTGACAAACCCTGATGCCCTTATGCAGGCGAAACTCCCCATGTCCTCACTCTGTTTTGCTCAGGCACTTGAAAAGGGCTGAGTAAGGGCAATTATTGTTATTATTTGGGGCTGATAAGAGATCTGATGGGCTGTGCCTGCTGCCTACTATGAGGCTGTTTGAAATGCAGGAAAGAAGCAGCTAGCAGAAACAAGAAGGCAAGGGGGGGGGGGAATTAATAAGTCAAAGCCTGAGACTGAACTAGCAATTAGATCAGCCACGGAATATATTTAAGTCAAATCAATCCAGAAGGGAATTTCAGTCACAACGCGCGCTCTCTCTCCTTCCCCTGCCCACAGCCCAGGGCATTACAGTCCCCTTAGTCAGACAAGGTGAGAAATATAGCAACAGTGAGTCTCCTAAGATGCTTTATCACAGTTTTGTAAAGTCCTAGTTCATCTTTCCTCTCGCGGATTTATTTACATATTGATTTATTTATTCAACTCTCTTTGTCAAGCAAGCCCCTTGAGATTAAACCATTTTATTTACAAAGACATTGGGGGTCACAGATACGAACAATTAAGTCAGCCGAGGTACATCTTTGCATGCACTCTCACACTGATGTGATGAGCAGACGAATCAATCTTGTCAGTGATTCAGGGGTAAGGTGGGGGGCTGCTCGAGCCCCAGATATCTGAGTTGGTCAATAGCTGCTGCAAGTGGAAAGAAGGAACTGAGGGGTCGGTGTGCAGCAGGAGGAGAGAGAGAAACCAGCTTGGGGAGTAATGGAAAAACCATCAGGACAAACCTTTGTGGGGTAATTTAGCAGAAGGAGCAGGGCCTGGTAGTGGAGCTTGTATTGCACCAGCCCTCCACTTCACCTGCCAAAGTCACCCCTAACAAAAAGCAGCACATTTGCTCTTAGCAGGGAGATGGGCTCAGGAGAAGAGGGGAGGAGGGAACAACCATGGGAAGAGACTCTGGAAGAGACTGATCTACATGATAGAGTTTTCAGCTCTGCTAGCTTCATGTTACAAGACAAGGCATTAGAGCCCTTTTTATAGATGACTTTTCCACTAGGCAGAACTTCAGTGGAAAACTCTCCTTGCTCCAATTAGCATCCTTACCATCCTACATTGGTTGTTTCTCTCCCTGCACCCCATTCCCTCCTCTCTCACTCATTATTTTTAAAGGGAGAATTGACTGAGACACTGATGGCATTTGTGCATTGATCTCAATGAGCTTTACAGCTCCGTGGTGCTGCATGAGTTCAGGGAAACGCTGTCCCTGGAAAAGTCCTGCTGCTTCCGATGGGCCTCCTCTGTGTGCACTGAACTCAGACATCTCACATGCACAGGTGTCCTTGGAGATATATATAAATATATATTGGACTGATGTGTTTGCAGTGGATGGGAGTGCTTAAGTGAGGGGTGGGCGAGAGCTAGGCACAGCGTGGGCAGTTCTGTCACTGAGTTACAATCCCAACCTGCAGTGCTCCTGTCTATTCCAGTCCTAGATCCTTTACTTCAGTTTGACCAGTGCACCTTAATCCTGACCTTCAGCACCTTTGTTAGTCCAATACCAGCACAACTGGATGAAAGGACCTCTCCTTTATGTCTCATGTGAGAAACTGCACTTCCACCTGCACAGGCCCCATAGCACCATGAAAATGCCCTGCAGAGGGAAGAGAATTAATGGCCTACTAAACTACCAATAGTAATACCTACTTCTTTTACATAGCATTTTTCAGCAGTACCGCTGAAAGCACTTTTCAATCTTTAATGTTTATCCTCACAGCACCCCTGTAAAGTAGGGCAGTGCTGTGGTCCCCATTTTTACAGATGGAGAATTGAGGGCAGAGAGAGGCTAAGTGACTTGCTCCAGGTCATACAGGAAGTCTGTGGTAGAACAGGGAATTGAACCCAAGTCTCCAGCTAGTGACCTCAGCACCGAATCATCCCTTCCTCTTTCTACACTGTTTCCTGCACCATCTAGGTGTTTATTGGAGGGTTGGTACTGACCAAGCAGGACTGTGCTTAGCTCGTGAGAGATCTGCTTGGCTCACAGCCCAGAATGAGCGTCTATTACCCTCGACAGAGTCCTTTTCACTTTATGGAATTGCTTCAAATAAATTATTAAAGAAACCAAACAAAGAGCAATGTGTTTCCTAAGCATACTTGCATAGCTGTTTGTGTAAGATTTAATTATGGTATTAGGTACAGGTAAGAACATTGTTATTCACAAACCTTAGTGCAGTATCGCTGTGCACCAAAAACATAAGTGCATGGTGTACAATGAGATCAGAATCTGGCCTACCAGAAATAATTACACTGAAATCAACAGTTATTCTGAGGTTGCATTAGTGTAGTTGCTCCAGATTTACATCGGGGTCAGACTGGGCTGTGGCCCAATATCTCCTATTCCTGATAAGAGTTTTATGTGGAATTCCATCCCATCCCATTCTTTCAGCATCTTACTCCTTTCAAAAATATATAAAGACTTCATTCGTGTTTTATTTGACAATCATGCACCAAACACCTTAATATTTACCTATATATAAAAATCCTACACCAACTATTTGTAGGCCTATGAATGCATAACAATACCGCACCAGTTACCTCTAATTAAACAGGGAACAGAGATGCCAAGGAGATCTAAACAGCTGTCTAACCATTTTAAAAAGTTGGCATATCACATTATTGATCCTCAACCTGCTCTGAACAGCTATATTGCCAAGCTAATCAATCACTAATGCTGGCTAGAACATTAATTGCAACAATGTATCAATTTCGCTCACATCCAGTCATTTCTAGTCTATAGGAACACAGCAACTCACGTTACTTCTACAATTGTTATAAATACCATGCAGTACCATACACAGCACTTTGCAGACATTGCAAAAAGACACGGTCCCTGGCCTGAAGCATTTACAATTTGGCACACGTTCAGAGGAGAGATGAACACATTTCGCTGACAGTCTGAAAAGGAGTTTCCTGGATCAGTTTTATTCAGGAGACTGCATAAAGATGGGTTAGACACAGGCTTTTAGGAGTTACATGTATATAGCTGTGCTTACTACATACTGATCAACATGCATTGACATGTCTTGCCCATACCTCCATGACTCTCCATGCCCATTCTGCGTAGAATCACAAAGCAAAGCTTCCTACCTATGCCAAGAGGCAGGCGATTAATAGTAGATGGCCATGAAACCTGCCACCACCATATAGCCACCAAAACAAAAACAACCCCCCCCCCAAAAAAAAACAACAAACAATGGATACGTAATGGTCAGCAACCACTCAGAGCCGAAGAGTCTGACAGAGGTCTGCTTAACACAAGACTCTGCACAACATAACCATCTGGCTCTTACCAGAGCCTCTTAAATGTACAGTTCCCCACAGAAATCCTGGCTCTGGAGAGGAGTAATGAAATATAGAACTCTTTACCTCTAAGAGTATGTACATATTGCATTTGGATGTGTGACTGCAGCTCAGGTAGACATACCCAAGTTGCATTAATCTAGCTAGAGCAGCTAAATATAGTGGTGAAGATGCAGTGGTGCTGGCTTCATGATGGGCTGTACAAACTCGGCTGGAGCCCTGGGTATGTACTTATACTTCTTGCTCACACCACCAGGGCTCATGCTGCCACAACTTCACTACATTTAGCCCAGTCACGTCTACACATGCTACAATCTCATCTCCGAATGTGGTGTAGGCATAACCTGAGTCTCTGGTCTGGACTCAGCCAGGGAGAAAGGGACTGAAACTCATCAACATTAAGGCTCTTTCCCCACTCTGGTTCTTCGAGTGCAGAAGATGGGGGCCCGCAAGGATTCTAAAAATTAATACTGGCCACTCCAGGCTTGTATTGAACTCCCAAGGTTACAGCTTTCTCTGATGGATTTTGGACCTTGGATTAGTAGATGCTGCCACCACCCAAGTGCAGAACCTCTTTGAGAGCCCAGGGAGGTGCACTTGGGAATTCCTTCCTGTGGGGTACCCTCAAGCCCTTTCAGCCCCCCTCCAGGGAAGAGCTAAGAAAAAAAAGGAAATCAGCTGTTGCAACCAGCTAATTAAACAGCATGTACACAAACCTCTTAAGACACCAAAATCCAGTTCTGTTCT